TTCCTGGATGCTGTTTCAATCTGTCTGACCTCATGTTCATCATTGACCTCTCCAGTCCCTCCCTCTGTGATGTAGAGCTCTGTGTAGATCTGGTTCAGAAGGGTTGGACTTCCTGCTTTAGCAATCCCCTCAAACACAGACTGGAACTTCTTCTTCAGACCAGATTTAAGTTGACGTTGACAAACTCCAGTGAAAATTTCTAACATAACACAAAAAGTAAAACAAAGAATTAAGCAAAATCATCTTCTGAAGATTGTTTTAATGAATGTGATTCCATCTCTTCAGACATCAGTAAATGTGTGATTTATCCATCAAGTTAAATCTTTGTAGAAATCCTCTTACTCTGCAGACGGTCAGCCAGATCCTCCTGCTTCATCCTCCTCAGGAAGTTCAGTGTGATCTTCATCAGTGCCTCTCTGCTGCTCCTCCTCTGCTCTTCATTATCACCTTTCAACACCTCATCATCATCTCTCAGACTCTTTGAGCATTCTGGGTAATCTGGACTCAGAACCTTCTGGATCTTCTTCAGCTCGTTCTTCACAAAAGTGACAATGTTTTCCTCCAGCAGCTGGAACAGAATAATAGATGAAGGAAACATGAACTAAGAAATTATGTAGGGATGTTGGACAGACTGACAGTCCTCTGGTCTACAAAGTGCAGCATGGAGATGATTCTGAACAGAACCCATGGAAAAGTAGTAATTGTTCATGTACAGACCACAAATATGGAGTCCATCTCTATTTGATGCGTCTGCTGGGCAGACGGATCACTGGGAACCTCTGAGCTCTGCTGGTCCACTCTGTGGAGGAACCAGGAACAATCAGGAAATCAGGAAATATTTATCCAGCAGCATTAAGAGTTGAAATCGTCAAGAGCATCACATTAAAAGTCCTCAAAGCAGAAAAACAGAGCATCACGTGAACACAACACAAAGAAACTACAAGGATAAAGACCACTAACACCAGAATCACCCAGTAGACATTTTAAAAAGTTGGTGCTGAACTTGGACTTCAAACTGTCCACACTGTCAGCAGATCTGATGCTGGTGGAGACATTGTCCCAGAAAAAAAAAACTCATTAAAAACTTTCTGTGGAGTTTTGCTTCAAAGATCGTTTTGAATGTGACTGATAGTAAATTAAAGAACTTTTAGACACAACAGAACCAGACAGATCATCAATGCAATGTTCTAAATGATTCCCGTCAGAACCAGTCCAATGTCCAGCCTTGTTTAAAGAGACCTGTTTCTGAGACAAACATTTTGGGTTGAAACGACTGAGAGAGCAGTTTAGTTATATTAGTATTGAGCTCTGACATGGAGAAGAACCAGGAGTCCTTTCCACTCTGACCATCCAAGGAGGATCTGATGGAGCTTCATTCAGAACCAGGCAGTCCGTTTGATATTTAATTTTACTGTAGAAATGAAAGGTAATGCACCATGTTATGTGATGCTTGAACCTCCAACCTAACAGCAGCCAGATTTAGAGAATGATCCAAATATCAACCTAGAAATTAAACTCACTCTTACCTTTGTCTTTTTGTGTTAGTATTAATGTTGGATGAAATAAATGAGTTTGTTTCATTTGGAAAAAAAAAATAAGTTGATGCAAAACAGAATAAAATGCAGTTAAATGTTTGTGATCATGCCAACATAACAGTTTATGTGTCCTGATTAAAAAGTGAGTTTATTCTGGTGAATGTTTTCTCTTACTCATCAGCAGTAATTACTTATGTATGGTGTCAATAATTGCCTAGAAGGAGGCAGTATCACTACACGAATGATGGTTAGATGGATCTCAGAGAAACAGATCAAATATTGAGACTACTGTAAACTAGATGGAGGTGTAGAGACTGTGGACCTGAACAGACCTGATTAATACTCAGAAGTTCTTTCAAAAAAAATGTTTCGGTACCAACAATCCATTTAGGCATTACTGTCTCCATGGTATCATGTTACCATGGATACATCAATGTACGTATGGACACATATGAAGAAAAATAAAATGAAATTCTGTGTACTGTTCTCAGGACAACGTAACAGAACTTTGTATCGTCATGGTCACAATGACAGATATAAACAGAAAAGTTACAGCAGTTAGAAACATCTCACCTCTCTGATGGTGGAGCTCCAGGAGATTTAAAGTCAATGAGCCTAAGCTTTGACCTGTCAGACTTAAAGGACACACAGCTTGGTTCTGGTTCTGGTCCTGGTTCTGGTCCGAGTCCCTTACGGCTCCTGACAGAAACATTATGATTAAAACTTCATCTGTTCAGTCTGGATGAAGCAGCAAAGAGGAGCAGCAGCAGCTTCATCACCACGTCTGTTTTGGCCTGATTATAGTGAA